ACAGAAAGGTAAATGTCTACAGTCAAACAAGTAAAAGTCAATTAGGCAACAAGAATAACTAAAAGAGCAGATAAATTCCAAGTAAAGTCATGTAGAGGTGAAACTAATAACAGGAAACTCAATCGTATCAAGAACAACTTCATATTTGGTGATTACAAGGATCTAAGAGCCTAAAAGGGGCAATTTTCCACAAATAAATCCGAGCACGCACTCGTCACCTCGCGTACAAGGAATACAATCAACAAAAAAGACTCAAATCCTAAGGGGAAGTCCCCCACACAAGGTTAGGCAAGATACTTACCTCGAACCGGCTAAAATCAACTAGCAACCACGTTCTTGCCACGAGTACTCGACTCCAAATGATCCAAATCTATTCAATTAAATCACACATTATAATTAACATCTCAAGCAACGGGTTCTACTATTTAATTCAAAGCTAGAGCGCGAAATTAGGCAAAATGACCAAAACGCCCCTCAGGCCAACATCTCGGAACCGGATGAATTTAATATTTTCAGAACCCTCGTACTCTCACGAGTCTAACCATATAAAAATCTCTCAAATCGGAGGTCAAACACCCCCTCAAAACTCAATAATTCAGTCTATGAAGTTCTACCCATTTTTCATCAAAAATCTGAAATTAAAGGATGAAATTAAGAGGAGATTCATGGAAATTGGTCTAAATCGAGTGAGAATTACCTACCCAAGTTGCCCAGGTGAAAATCCCTTCAAAAATCGCCAAGGACCGAGCTCTAGAAGTCAAAAATGTGATAAAAAGATAAAACCCTCGAATTTGGGATTTAATTCTGCCTGCCCAGCGATTTGTTCATCGCGATCGCGGAACAAAGGTCGCGATCGCGTAGAGGAATTCGAGAAGGCCCAGAAAATGTACATCGCGAACGCGATGACAGGAACGCGAACGCGGATAAGAGGAAGACAGTGCTTCGCGATCGCGTAACCATGAGTGCGAACGCGTTGAAGGAATACCAAAGTCCTGAGATTGCTCTATGCGAATGCGGGATCTGAGATGCGATCGCGAAGTAAGGAAAATTATACCTTCGCGATCGCGAGAGAGGCTTCGCGATCGCGTAGAAGGATATCAGAAGCAGCAGTTCAGCAGTTCAAAAATAGAAGAAAAGGATCCGTAGCCCACCCGAAACACACCCGAGGCCCCCAGGACCCCGACTAATCATGCACACAAGTCACATAACCTAACACGGACTCGCTCGAAGTTTCAAATCACATAAAACAACATCGAAACGATGGATCAAACCAAAAACCAAGCTTATGAACTTCCAAATCTTCAAAATACGCTTTCGATCAAAAACCTAACCAAACCACATCCGGATGACCTAAAATTTTGCACACACATCCCAAATGACATGACGGAGCTACTGCAACTTCCGGAATTCCATTCCGACCCTCGGATCAAAATCTCACTATCGGACCGGAAACTTCAAAAATTCAAACTTCGGCATTTCAAGCTTAAATTAGCTACGGACTTCCAAAATACATTCCGAACACGCTCCCAACTCCGAAATCACCTAACGGAGCTAACGGAACCATCGGATTTCCATTCCGAGGCCGTCTTCACACTGTTCCGACTACGGACCACTTTCCAACACTTAAGCTCTCATTTAGGGACTAAGTGTCCCAAAACTCTCCGAAACTCAACGCCGAACGTCCCGGCAACTCAAAATAGCAGAAATGAACTTAGGGGAAGTAGTTAATAGGGGATCGGGGCGTGAATTCTAAAAACGACCGGTTGGGTCGTTACACTACTACACGCCATTTTTACTGATATGGCTCTTCATCTTTTTGCTAATGAAAAAAGTTCATAACTGAAGGTGCTTTCATGGGCTGTGAAGAAACAGCTTGAAAATGAACTGATGGGTCGTTTGGTAGGGCGTATAAGAATAATACCAAATAGGGTGTATTAGTAATGCTGAGGTTAGTAATACTGGGATTACCCTTTGGTTTGGTATATTAAAATTAATATGCAATATACAATTTTTTTTTTAAATCTTTGTTTACCAAAATACCTTCCAAAAAAAGGATTTGGAAAAGGTTTTGAAAGGGCATGCCTGTCTTTATACATGCTTATTCATGCATTAAAAATTATGATAATGCTAATGTCATGGTTTGCTATGTATAAGAATAGTACTGAATATGGTGTATAATTGTATTAGTTATACATAAGTTGAAAAATACTAACAAACAAGAGATTAATAATACCAAAGCTAATACATGTATTATTTTTCGTTAATACATCCTACCAAATGACCCCTGAGAGTTATATTCCATCTTGGATAAGTTTCCACACCTAAATACCTCTGTTTTAAAAGGCAGAATTGGGACTCGCCCTGGGGCGGGGCACTCGTAAAACGTCCCTGGGCTTATGTGTGAGACTTAGTTTCATGAGAATTACGCCTCGACCGTCGGGGCTTACGTCTCGGACACGCCCAACGCCCAACGTACTGGGCGCGCCTAATAAAACTTTATGCAATTGTGTGTAACTAACCTTGTAAATCCTCAAATTTTTTTAATAAATCGTTAACTATTCAAAATTACTTTTTCTTAATCATGAATCATTAAGTGGAGAGTATTTTATGTCATAATTAAAACAAAAATTATTGCAGGTTATCCACTAAGATTGCTATGATAGTAAATTTTAAATAAATCTTTCATTTAAAAGTATTATTTATTAACTTTTGTTATGTCTTTATTATATTAGTCAATAACTTTTTTATAATTATTTTCCTAAATATTATTTTCATGTTTACGATACAATACTTATTAATTTAATAGCTCAGTATCAGCTAGTAACTATTTACAAATAATTAGTTATCATGATATAGTATGAAATTATGTTTCACTTTATTAAATTGTTGAAACTTAAAAATAAATGTTGCTAGAGAATCATATTTAAATTGTGAATTATATTTTTATATAAATTCTCTTTCAAATAGAAAGCATACTATCAAATAAAAGGAATATTTTAGAAAAAATATTATATTATAATATCGAAATTTTTTCAAAATTCATTACTCCTTAAGAGATACATATAAGATTTCGCATATACATTGCTTTTGATGTTTGAGTTGTAACGACGTTGCAGCTGATGATAGGCTATAATTGCATATTTTAGTCGCTTATTACACTCGAATTTACTGCACTTTAATTGAGTTTGCGCTTTAATCGCTAGTGTTTTGCACTAATTGTGTGTTTTATGCCTTGTAGGTGTGATTCCGAGCTATATAGATGTTATGGAATGAATTTAAGTGATTTGAAGCTTTGAATTCTGAGTAAAAGCTTAAGGAATTAAGCCGGGATCGTGTTCGGGGGTCAAATTTGATAATTAAGTACGAACGAAGACTTGAGGAGGCATATTATGCACTGTCTAGTAAAATAGACATAACGTTTTGCTCAGAACTCCATTTGGGCTACACAATATATGGTTGGAAAGCTAACTCAAAGGGCTACAACTTTCATGTTTTACGTTTTTCCAAATTCCAAACGGAACAGGGTGAAAAACCGCTATTTTGCCGCAACCGCGGCAGAACCGCGGTAGAAGATGGTCGCGGACAACTGAAGAATCAGAGGGCATGTTTGGCCGCGGTTCCACCGCGACCGCGGAAAAACAGCGGCAGGAAGCGAAAATTTCAGGGACTAAAGTGCAAAACATGGGATTTTAAGTCCTAAACCCTATATTAAACAAAGGAGGCCGGCCAAGAACAAGAGGAGAACATATTTTGGATATAAATTAGACTTAAGGAGGCGGAGAGACACTACTTTAGGGTTAGACAACACCCTTGGAGGCAAGAACACATTGGGAGCAAGGCGGAGAATTCTTCTACGAGTTTTTTCCTTCCTCTTCCTATTTTCTTCATTGTTGGTTATGACTTTTAGTATTGTAGTTTTACATACTATTATGAATAGCTAATTTGTTATCTAGAGTTTGATAGAACCTTTTGTAGGATAAATTCTTGTTATGTTTTTATATAATTGAGCCATAGCTTTTCTGTATTTGTTCAACTACGTTTATATTCTGGTTGATTGAAGAGCTCTCAATTAGCTGTGCCTATTTAGTATGCATAACTCGGGAGAGAGTGCATATTTAGGTAATTGTTGAACAACACCACTCCCAGAGTATATAAGGGATCAATAACCAAGGGTTTAAAGGCGGGATTAGGGATAACGAAGCCTTGGGTGCGATCTGAAGTGAGCTTTATTAAAAGCCAGCTAGCGTAGCTCGGGAGAGTGCGTCTAGTAAATTGTCGTAATTACTCGGGAGAGATTTACGGCAATAAGAGTGCTCATGATCGGTAGAGAATACTTAGGCGAAATTATAGAAGACATAGGGGGAAGGATTCTGACAATAGGGGAAATCATAACTCTAGACCTCCTTAATCTTTTCTCTAACCCTCAGTATCGTTAGCTGTTAATTTACTATTTTAATTTATTAGTTAATTAGTTAAACACAAGAATCTTAATATCTATAAGTTAGGAATTGTTCAAGCTTGTCTTCTTGGTGATAGTGAACAGCTGTAGCTAAACCTTAGTTCTCTGTGGGATTCGACTCCGGACTTGTAAACCGGATTATATTTGCAGGGACCGCTTAGTCCTTTTTTTAAGGCATAGTTGGGCGTGATCAGCAGCTAATTTGCATATTTGATATGTGTCATAGTTTTTATATTATGCATAGTTGAATTATAATTTATGAATAGTTTAAATAGATTATTTGTTATAATTTTGTGATTTTAATGTAATTTTTATAATTATTTCTTATTTTATATTATCTTGAAATTAGTAAAATCTAAAGATCCGTGGGACTTACGCCCCATGTCTCAGGTCTTACACCTCGCCTCGTCAGAGGTAAAACGTCTCGCATCACGCCCCCGCCTTTTAAAACATTACTAAATACAATCAAGTGATTTGATTATGCTTCATTACATTTCTTCTTTTATTTATCTATTGTACTACATCTCAATATAGTTCCAACTAGAAACAAAATGCACAATGGAGCATACTCTCATTTTATAAGAAATCATCTAACCATGAAACTTGAAAACATGAAAGATGGTAAAAGTAGTTGAAATAAATTATTGAAAGATCAAGCTCTAAACAACCAAGGGATAAATTGATATACTTTGATGCCTAGTTGTGAATATTTGTCGACGAATTATAGGCCTTTGCAGCTACTGGAGCTGAAGCTTTGCTAGCAACGATTTGCTCGTAAAGGTCTCTGATCTTTAATCCGACGATTGTCTGGAAAAAACCTGTGCCGTTGTTGCTGCCAGGGAAATCAGCATGTTTCAACATTTGTTGAGTAACTTCACCATAGAACTTAGTGGATAGACTGCTCAAATGACTTTCTACATAGATGAGTTCATCTAGTCTGTCAAATTGGCCATCCATTTCCAAGACAGATACCTATTTAACAGCAAAAAACAGACAGTGAGAACAGGCACTGAGTAATGAAACAGACAATTTTCAGGTTTACAGAAAGGTAAGATTCTTGTTGTCTTTGAAGAACCATATTATATGCTTGAGGGGTGACAAAAAACAAGCCTCGAGTCAATGTCTAATATCACATATGATCGCTGAATTTTACCTACTGTAATAGTAAAAGTCACAATTTTTTTTTACATTAAAGTAACTGAATTTTACTCACTAGCCCGAATTTCACCTTATTGGTGAGGGTTCAATTCATGTAAAGTCTCTTGATTAGGTTTTACCATTATAGTGGGTAAAATTAAATTTGGTAAATTTATAGTTATAGTAGGTAACATTAAGTTACTTTAATGTGAAAATAATAGTTGTGATTTTATTGTTACAACGAGTAAAGTTTAGCGACCTTAATAATATAGTAAAAACGTTTAGTTACTTTAACTTTATTGTTATAGCGAATAAATTCAGTGATTATACATGAAACTAACCCCTTTTGATGATCTAGACATATTAAGTGAATCACTAATCTTTCAAGCAAAACCCAAACCTTGTTGCATTTTTTTGTCTTCTTGATATTATACATTATAATCAAGCATTGGGAGGTATATTGCTCGAATCCTTCAAAAATGTCACCCAATCGTGTCAAATTCGCCAATAATGCATCATAATTGGAGGACTCAACACACAACCGACAACTATTTTCGAGGATCCGAGCAACACAAAGGGGAGATAGATAGAGCAACATACCTCATTGCCAAAGTAGGTATCAGGACCATAGGAAAACTTGATGCCAGGGTAAGAACAAGTCAATTTCCTACCACATGGAATCCATGAAATAGTAGAGCCTTCATCAAATAAACAAACTGGATTAAAATACTTCACTCCTTCTTTCATTATTAGTCTAACTCTCAAAACTTTGCCTTCATTATCATCAGGAATTAACTGAGTTGGGAGTACTTCAATAACTGCATCTGCATATTGTTTTTGTGGATCTGCATAACAATTTAACAAAAAAATAATTACCCTTTAATTTCACTATGTATTATGTGTTAATCTTCATTCACCAAATAGGTAAATTTAAAATTCAATTTTAAGGGGAATTATGATATACCAATGTAAGCATCAAAATCTGGCTTTCTTGCTTCAATACTAGCCTTAATGCTTTCAAGACTGTGTCCTCTCTCAGCCATATCCCTCTGCATTAATTTTCAAGAAACAATTAGATCAAAAGGGAATTGTACATGTGTGTTTGGTGTGACGAGAGTCATTTTTCATGGACGTTATTTTCCTCAAAAATGTTTTTCGTGATTGCTCAGTGAAAAATATTTTTCGAAAAGTAGTAATATTGAAGGCTAAAAATAAAAATAATAATAATAATAATAATAATAATAGCAGCAAATCGGATGGTGATTTTATGACACTTTTCTATATCAAAGTTTGTTAATAATATCTAAGTATCAGAACAAGCGATATGAAGTTAAAAGTTAAGACAGTGGCATAAAAAATGGCCAAAATTTCACGGTATAGCCAGTTTTTGAACTGGTCAATCAAAAATAGCCAGCGTTTACCAAGTCAATAAAAAATAGGCACCGTTTTACTGCAAAAGAGACCGGTCCAGCATAATATACTGGAGTTCGGTGCACTTGTGTATGAACTCCAGCATATTATACTGGACCGGTATACTTTGCTGGCTCCAGTATAATATACTGGAGACTGGAGCACTGGTGCTCCAAACTCCAGTATATTATACTGGACCATTATACTTGCTGGAACTCCAGTATATTATGCTGGAGTTCTAGTGTATTTATGCTGGAACTCCATCATATTATGCTGGAGTTCCAACATACTATCCTGGAACTCCAGCATAATATACTGGAGTATTTTTCGGGTTTTGAAAAGTGTTTTCGCTTAGATTTATCTTTACATAAAAAGTGGCTAAATTTCGATTACTTTTGAAATTGGACTATTTTTGAACGGCCAGTTGTAAATCTATCTATTTTTAAAAATATCCCTAAAAAATGACATCCATCCATAAGTAGCGAAAGTTATTCCCCCAGCCCCATTAGATGGAAAATATTTTTGGTAACTAAACACCAAAAATGACTTTTACCAAACACACCCGATTGATCTTTTTCCTCTTTTTGATTATTTTTTATAACATATATTTTTGTTGCCCTAAACCTTCCCTCTATAATATTAATTAATCCACCTATGTTGCAGAGGATTTAAAGTTTATCGGTTCATGATTATATTTGTTTAAGTTATTCGGTTTTAAATTAATAATTTGTACATATTTAATAAAAATACATGATTTGGATCAAAGCTAACGAATCCGGTCGAATCATATCCTGTATGCTAGCCCCGTCCCTGATTGCTCTGAGACCAAAATTATTGTTGAAACAGAAATTTTGAAGCATATGAAGCAATTACCTGAATTTTCCAAGCAAACTTAACCTCATTGCTGATGTCCAAATAAATACTGAAGTCCAACAGCTCTCTCACTCGTACGTCAAACCTAGATAAACACCCAAAAAAAAAAAGGAATAGGTTTATTAATATTAGCTATAACTTTAACTAGACAAGCAGGGAAATTATGGATGGCTAATATTCTTTAATGCTTAATTGAGGTTCCAATCAAACATGCCATATAAGGACAGTTTAATTTATTTAGCAAATAAACTGTGTTTGACAAGTTTTTTGGGTTCCTTAATGAAATTGTTCCACTTTTATGAAGAAGAACAAGTGAAAATAACACCAGATGGTCACTTCTAAGCATGGTGTTTAAAATGTATCCAAGGTTTACAATATATTTAAAGATTAGCCAATTCGTACAACTTTTAGGATACAACGTCCTGAAGCTCGAAAATTGTATCCAAATATTCGAATCTTATGTCCTGAAATTTAAATTACCGACTCAGAAATTCAGGACACTTAGTCCTAAATGTCAAATTAGCAGTTTAAAAATTCTGGATACTTTTCAAATTAGTAACTCAAAATTTAGGACACCAAGTCTTGAATTTCGAATTAGTAGCTCAAAATTTTAGGATACAGAAATTTAGGTTACTTAGTCTTGAAGTTTGGACAAATTGACTAATCTTTAAATATATTGTAAATTGTGAATATATTTTAAATAATAGGCTTAAAAATGACTACTGGTGCACTTCGCCCGAAGAACAAATGTAACCAAAATATTCGAAAATATCATTAAAAAGCTTTTTTAACTTCTATAAACTGCTAGCGTAAAAGAACACGTCAAGTTCGGGGTCCTTTTTTAACTATTCTGCTAGTAATTTAAATATTGAGAATGGATTCTTAACCTGCAAAAATTAGTAGTAAGTGATTTGTTGCAGCGATAAAACTATATGATAAAATCCTTTTACACTATAGAGTATATGAATTAAATCTTAAAGAAACTATACTAAATATGGAGCTACCTGGGCCCAAAATCGTGGGGGGCCATTATGAGAAGTGACAGAGATATTATTAACTCCCTCCGGTTCATAATAAGTGATCAATTTGCTTTTATATTTTGGTTCAAAATAAGTGTCCATTTATATAATCAAGAAAAAATTCAATTTGTTTTTCCAAAAATACTCTTATGTACGTATCCCTAAAAAGTTATTTACTTTCACATTTGAGAAGAGAAGTAAGTGCAACTATAACTATGGTACAACATTTAACAAAGGGTAGTTTAGTCACACTAACTATTTTCGTCTAGAATTTAGTATTTCCTTTATGGGTGTTCTAAAAGTAAATTAGTCACTTATTATGGACCAGAGGAAGTATCTTGGAGCCGACTAAATTCCAGTTTCGCTCCGAAAAATCCTACATTGGGCATAAAGCACTCCATTTCTTCATCTTTCAACTAACTTGAATACAACATGGTTAAATCTAACTAACTGGAATAATCACTTTTACTTATCCTTTATCTTGGTCTAAGAGAGAGAGGCTTTAAAGAATTTAGCTTATATGGCCAAATCTTGTTTTTCGAAAACAAACAAAGGTTCAGGAAAAAAAAATAGGCGTAGGGACTCAATGGAAGCTATTCTAACAAATAGAGTAAAATGCGTTGGTGGGGGAATCTTTATATTGAAAGTTTGAAACTTTAGAAAGAAAAAGAATGAACTGAAGGATAAATGTATATGCATACGTATTGAATATTATATCAAATGATTAATGATGACCCGAATCCGTAGTTTTTTCTATAAAAAATAGAAAAATTGGTGTGAATAGATTCTACATTGAAGAAAGAATCGAATATTCATTGATCAAATCATTCACTCCATATTCTGATAGATCTTTTGAAGAACTGATTAATCGGACGAATATAAAAATAGAGTACATGTTCTACATGTCAATACCGGCAACAATAAAATTTTCACAATGTTAGCGTACTTTAACATATTCTAGCGGATAATCTGTCTTACTTCCTGATTACTAGTCACACTTCTTATGGACAGATCTTTAGGCGACCTTACACTATCGAACGTGTATGAGTTAATCCAATCATGAATTCAACTTATATACAATGACAACACAAAGTGCTTTAATCTCATTTCACAATTACAATTTCAATTTTCCTCCTTTTTCTGGAAGGGGTGGGAGTTTTAAAAGACCTAAAATGCTGAAATTATGAAGTTTTCTAATGTGTGAACTGTGTGCATGAGTGTGTGTGTATGTGAAACACAATTTGACCTTGCATAGTTAACTTAAATATAGGAAACAGCCTCTCTACCTTCGCAAGGTAGGGGTAAGGTCTGCGAATACACTATTCTCCCCCGACTCTACTTGTGGGATTGTTATTGCTGTTGTTATAGTTAACCAAAATCTCAAGAATATTACTGAGTATACTTACATGGGGTGCAATCCTTCAATGACAAGAATCTTTGGTGGTTTAATGAGCTCTGGAGGATCAAGAAGACCACTAACATGATTATAAATAGGTTTTTCCACTGCAATTCCACTCTTTAAAGCCTTAACTTGTTCATACATAAGATCAAAATCATTAGCTTTAGGATCAAGAGCAGTGACACATTTCTCTTTTCTACCAGTTCTATCAAGTGAATGATAATCATCTAAACAAATCACAGTTGTCATATCAGAAATTAATGTGTTTGAATCTGGATTTCCACCTTTTGGTGGCTCAGCTGCTCCACCAAAAACACTTGTTAATCTCCTCATAAATGTACTTTTACCACAGCCAGAATCTGCTGCTAAACCAATGACTACAGTCTTGGTTTCATCAGATGTTGAGCATGTTATAAATGTGTTGAATTTTTTGGTAGAGTACTTTTTGGTACTTGTTGTGTAGAAAATAACTTGTTTTTGATGAAATTCTAAGTTGGTTTTTGTTGATGTTGAGATTGAGCAAGTTGAATTCAAGGATTGTATTATGTATACTGTGCTAACTGCCATTTTTCTTTTCTGTTTTTTCTTTGTTCTTCTCTTGGTTTCTTGAGAGTTCCTCAAGATAAAGAGATAGAATGGAATGGACTCTCTGAGTCTAAGTTAAGGTGATATGTAATGAATGAATGGACTTTGATTTTTATGTCTTTGTATTAAAAAAAAGTGTGAGGTACACAAAATGAAAGAAGAAAAGTTCATGGTTATGGTTAGAGAAAGAGATGGAAGTTTTGTTTTGGATAGGGAAGTGTTTTGATTTAATGAGAAGGCTGATGTGTCACTTTTTGTGGCTGTCTATGATGCGTAAAAATTTACTCGCACTCAGTATTTACATCAGTGTACAAAGCATTTCGCATTCATGTAGGGTCCGGGAAAGGGCCGCATCTCCAAGGGGGTGTGATGTAGGCGGCCTACCCTAATGCAAGCATCAGTGGCGGATTCCATGTTGCGGCCAAACGCACACGCAAGTATACGCGGTCGTCAAGTAATAAAGTGACTAAAAGTCGGATGTCGATCCCACGAGCACTTATGATTAACTATTAACTAAAATAGACTATCCTAATTATCTAAACAAGAATTAAACCTAGAAGTATTTGATTCAAACTAATTAAATAAATAAAAATAAATAATGAACTTTTAACAGAGAGAAAGAGCAGATTTTTATGATATCAATGTGATGAAAACGATCTAGGGTTATGGCCTATCTAACATTCCTATTGTATTCTTCAATTGAATTGACTAACTAATTTATCTAGTTTATTGGTTGACAGGGTTAATATTGCTCATAAGAATCTGTCGAGTTCTTACTCGCCTATTCAAGCTAACCTAACGCCTATATGTCTATGGAGTTAGATCGAGTGTTGTATGGCTACCTAGTGATTTACAAGCACCCTCACTGCACACTTTCTATATATCTGTCTCCATCCAATCAAAGACGTCCATGCCATAGAGAATCAGGCTCGGCAAATCAACAAGAACGCATTTATAATTCCTGTAAATCAACCAAGCAAGGCAATTAGGTATATGTCTATCCTAACCGCGAATCCGTTCCCCGAGGCCCAGGTTCAAGAACTAGCTCTACTCAATCCTATATGCAATCTAGAATTCCCACTTTCGAGTTCAATTCGAGATTCGTAGATAGTATTCAATTGGTGATCAAGCAATCAAATAATTAAGTGCAGGATTGAATAAATAAACCAATATGATAAACTAAGAAATCAAAATCAATATTCGAATAACAATAGTCATGAAAGAACCACAACCCTAGAACGTGAAGTTTAGCTCCACATAGACATGGTAGCAAAACAACAAATCATACAAAGAAACATAAAAAGACTAAGTTGGTGGAAGAAAAGATGAAACCCGGCCTCCACGGCGGCTCTGTGCTCTTCTTTCGTCAAAAATTACTCTCCAAAACAAATCTGCCCTAATATGTCTGAATTTCTACTTTTTATAAGGGTTTTACACCAAGTTTTTCCGACTTGACACTTTAGTCCCTGGCTTTTCCGCGTTCTGCCGCAGTCCCACCGCGGCCAAATAGGTCCTCTGAATCTGCAGCTCTGCTCTGCCGCGGTCCTACCGCGGTTACGGTCTGACCGCGGCAGGCCAAGTTTAGCTCTGCTTTTGTCTCTTCACTTGGTGCATTTCGTGGGCATTCTTTGATTGGCCTCCTTTTCTCCGTAATTGATCCCAAACTTGCTCCATCGACTTCGTTCGTTGGATATAGCCTGCAAAGCGTGAAAAGCACTAATCAGAGCATTTGGTTATCACTTTTTACCACAAAGCTATACAAAAAATGTGGTTCTTTTAGGGTCCAATTATAGTCTAATTCACCTATTATCAACACCCCACACTTAAATCTTTGCTCGTCCTCGAGCAACTAATAATTTACACTATCCTTGTGCACTTTGTTTTTACATAATTGAGGCATACTACACCAATGACCATGGTTGATAGCAATAATTAAACTTTAGCTTATGCAATCTCATACACTTCCCTTTTTCATATGCCAACTTCAAAAATATTCAAACAAAGACAACATGCTCATAACAATCCTAGCCTCACAAACCGACTCAATGTCACAATGTACTCGTGGCTTGAACACCCAAAATCATAGAGAGAGCTAATAATGTTACCTATCCCTCGTGTAACCATGTGCCCTCACAACAAAAGCAAAGAGAGTAAAATCAATCCACACATTCGAATCTCATGCCCACATATATCAAAGAAAATCACTCTCTCTCACAAAAGAAGTCACATGCCTGTAATTGGTACCATAGGCTTGCCCTTAATGTAAATCTCTACTAATGTAGGCTCGCTTGATCTAAAATCAATTAGGACTTTTTCATGGTTGTAATGTGGTCTAAGGGACGGGTAGGATATATATTTAGGAATAGTGACTAACCCTCCTAACCACTTTAACACATCATATAATCAACTTTAAGCACAAATTCTTCAATCCACTTCACTTTCACAAACAATATCACCCCCAAAATGCTCCCTTCTTCTTTAAGCACTACATTAATTCATACCCACTAGCAAGAACAAGACAACAATTTATTCATCTCTATTTTTTTCTTCAGATTATTCTCTTTTTTTTTGTCAAAACTTTTTTAAATTCTGCTAGTGGTGTATTATTTTACAAAACAAGTGCACCTTTCTCCCTTTATTGGCTCCACTCAAAAGTCACCCCACACTTAGTTCCTTCTTACTTCTTTTAGCGCTCATCTCACAGTTAAAGTGCTTTAAGAGGTAAAAGGATCAAAACAATGTCAATTAAGAATAAAAAGGGTATAGGCTTGTAATGTGGGTACCAAATAAAAGTCTATAGGCTCAAAAGGGTTGACTAGGGATAAATTTTATTTGTGGTAAGAAATTAAGCTCAAAAAGATCAAAGAAAGTCTAAAATCATTTTTCAAACCGAGCATCACCTAAAATTTCGCTTCAACTCACATACCGGGCAAGTTCTAGACACAAGTACAATACATGGACTACACAAAAATCTCGCCACACATGGCACATGACTCACTAAGGACGGTCTCATTCCGACTTTCAAACAAATGCAAGTATTCACGGAGTCATGAGATATTAAGCATTAAGCACAAAGTGAACATAAGTCAAGAAAATGAGACATAGGTATCACAAGACATGCTATCCAAGTAAGCAAGGCATCATCAATAATTTCAAATCATAGGGAAGATACTACACATGCCAAAGCCTAAATATGCTACTATCAAACAAGTCAAAGGCGCCTAGGTATCTCATCTTTCTTCCTCCATTTATTCCCTAAATTCCTAATCTACTCTAAAAATAAAAAAATACTACTACCCGGTTCAAACTACATCCCATGGAAAAGAACCGTTGCACAAAGAAAAACCATGGGGGATTATTGCTACCTAAAAAAAATAAAAGACGCATTTTTGGATTTTTTCTATTTTACACCCTTTTTTCATTTTTTTTTATTGGACCTTAATCCCTCAAGAAAGTTGTCCACAAAATCCATCGTCGGGAAAAGTCCAAATTTTTCGATTTTTTTTTCTGTTTTCTTTTAAAAAAAAATTACTACACTAAGAATGAGTACTTTAACTAAGCTAACATAGCACAGAAAATCACCCAGACAATCTCCTCACCCCACACTTAAAATTGTGCAATGTCCTCAATGCACACTAAAAATAACAAGAGGGTAAAAGAGACTCCCTGGTAGGCCAAAGGCCGAAGCATTAGCAGCTCACGGGATACTCAGACTTCTCCCAGGTACGATCCTTTGTGCGGTCCTCACACTCAGTTTCAAACACATGCTCGCTTTTGCACTCGCCTATTGGCTTTGACTCCATGCTCTTACTCCTACAAAATACAAAAATAATATTACAAAAAAAAAATACAATAAAAAAAATGTAACACGATGAAATATAAAAAAAAGTAAGAAAAAAAAGAAAATTGAAAAAAAAATTAGAAAAAGTTCAGACTTTTCCCGACTGGATCTTTTGAACAATTTTCTTGAGGGATAAAGTCCGATTTAAAAACACCAAAAAATTTTTTTGTTTTTAGGATAGTTAGATAGTATCCCTTGGTTTTTCTTTGGGCGCCGGTTCTTTTCCAAGGGTGTAGCTCGAACCGGGTACTTTTTTTTTAAGGAGTAGTTTAGGAAGAAACTGAGTCACTCTGAGATACTCATTGACATGGTTGATGTTGGCACATTAGGCTATGCCATACATTCTGTTTTCCCGTATATTTGGTGAATTGTGAAGCCTAAGTAAACTAAATAGCCTATTTTGTGATGCTCTTTCTCAGTTGTTTGACTCGTATGCCACATAGTGCATTATTGCTTAAAATTTCTCAAATTATGTGTGCTTTCTTGACTTTGANAAGGTCATTAGCCGATGAACTTTATTGTATGGAGTGTGTGGAGAAAAGAAAAGAAAAATGATAGTGAAAGTATATAGAAAAATAAACACCTCCAATTCTTATTGATTTGTGCTAGTGAAAAATAGAGAAGTGCTTAATTGAAAAGAGGGCTATGTTGTATGTGGCAAGTGGGTTGGTTGAAAAGAATATGAGCTTGAATTGTAAATGTAGTGTATTAAAATGCTTAGGAGTGTGAGTCACTATTTCTAAATATATCCTACCCGTCCCTTAGCCTACATTACAACCTAAACGTCCTAATTGATCCTAGATTTGGCTAGCTTAATTAGTGGAGATATACACTACGGGCAAGCTTATGGTACGACCACGGAATGCATATGAATTCTTTGTGAGAGTGAGTAAATTTTGTTCAATTGTGTGATGTCCTTAAATTATATTCAAAAGTATATTTGAATGTGTGGACCAATCTATACTCATTCTTTCGTTTGTTGGTGAGGCACATGATCTCATGAATGATTGGTAATGTAGTAAACTTTCTTGTTGGGTAAGTGCATGAATTGAGGGTGCTTAGTGGTTGCAAGTCGATTGCTGAGGTTGGGCGGTGACGAATAGGTTGTTGGAATTTATTGAATTGAAATATTCTACTTGGGTATGCTTAAACGGGAAGAATGTGAAATTTTGTGTGTTCATGCTTGTGTGCCGATATTGATTGTAGTCAAGGGTATAGTGTGTGGTTAAAAGTTAGGGTGTTTCTCTATGATTGAACTTTGT